ATGCCTGTGTATAGTTTGACAACCACTGGCTAGAACATTCTTCACTCAGTCACTAAATAATTACTTTTTTTTTTTTTTTGGTATCTACTCTGTTGCCTAGCAGGACCCTAGTGAGGGCAAAACAGACACTGCCCAGCCCTGGTGCGCCCTGTCCTGTTTCTTTTTTCTTTTTTGAGAGGTTTTTGCTATAGGGCACGTGTGCTCACCAGACAGACAGAAGTCACCCCCCAGAGGGGATGGTCACGCCGCAATCCCTTCTCCATTCTCCTCTCGGGATCTTGGGCACACACGCACACACGCACACGCGCCCGGCGTGAGTTTTAAGCCACTGGGTCCGGGACGCGAACCGTGGTCTACTACATGGGAGTCCAGCAACACAGCCATTACACTAACTGCTGGTTCCCTGTCCTGTTTCTTAACTGCACGTATCAGTTTGTAAATCCAGGCAGCTCTCCCTTTCTGCAGGCTCCACAGCTGGGGATTCAGCCAAGCGAGGTTTGAAATGTGACATTGTAGTTGACACAGGCTATGTAGTTTGTCCTACGATGGTTGTGTCTATATTACGCATGTACGGACACTTTTCCTCATCATTATTCCCTACGTGATATAAGTAATCTTGAAATAATTTCATGCATGCAGGAGAATGTGGGTAGGTTATATGCAAGTACTATGCTATTTTATATAAGGGACTTGAGCATCTGTGGGGGGTCCTGGAGCCAGCACCCCCCACCGAGGGACAGCAGCCTATTCAGGTAAGCAGACATCCTGTGTGACCCCTCCCCCATCACGCTGTGGGCTCCAGGTGGGCGGAGCCTTGCCTGGTTTCCTCACTACCATCTCCCTGGGCCCAGCCTGCGCCTGGCACATAAAGGTACTCCGCCAATACCCACTGGAGGGATGGCTCCCTTCCTGCTTGCCTCCTTCCTGCTGCGTGCTGAAATCAGGCCCCGGCAGCAAGGCTTCTGAACAGCATCGTATCATGACATGTATGGGGTAGGTTATATGCAAGTACTATGCTATTTTATATAAGGGACTTGAGCATCTGTGGGGGGTCCTGGAGCCAGCACCCCCCACCGAGGGACAGCAGCATATTCAGGTAAGCAGACATCCTGTGTGACCCCTCCCCCATCACGCTGTGGGCTCCAGGTGGGCGGAGCCTTGCCTGGTTTCCTCACTACCATCTCCCTGGGCCCAGCCTGCGCCTGGCACATAAAGGTACTCCGCCAATACCCACTGGAGGGATGGCTCCCTTCCTGCTTGCCTCCTTCCTGCTGCGTGCTGAAATCAGGCCCCGGCAGCAAGGCTTCTGAACAGCATCGTATCATGACATGTATGGGCTTCAGGAGTGTCTCCATGGGAATCTAATACCCACTAGACACATTTCCATACAAATAAATGCTTTTTGTGTTCAAAACAGCCAACGTTTAGTCCCTCTATCTGACAGCTGTAGATTCCTTAAACAGGCATAGGAAAATGCGTGCGGTGCGTCTGAAAGTGTGGGTAACTACAGGTGAGACTGCTGTTCCTGCACGGAGGAGCCTGGGTTCCCTGAGTGCTTTGTACTGCCCCACCTCCGCGGAGGCCACGCAGGGTGGGAAGGAGGGGCCTGATGACACCCCGTGGCACTCCTTGCTGGTGCAGCCGCCCTGCTGCCCGACCCGCCCAACACACAGAACTGTGCAGATCGACACGTCCTGACCCTTCACAGCGGCTGCGCGATGAACTCCTGTGTACAGGAGCTGGCGTTAGAGGCTAGCGTTTGGAGACGATGAGGTGCCGAGATAAGACGTCAATACCTTTCAACACGACCTCAGAACGGGAAGGGGCATCTGGAGAACACTTTCGAACAACAGGGGAAAAAGCACGCATTGATTTTTGAAGTTCTTATGGCAGATAGATTGAGATGTGGGTGGCATCATTTCACAGCTGCTTAAGAGCGTCAGCTAAATGATAAACCTGACCGGCTCTCCACCAGGGGATCAAGACCAAAGAGAAGACAGGAAGGGGGGGGGGGGGC